GTTAATATGTATCATCGATTAAGTGCTCTGGAGCGAGACTGGTAGATCCTGAGTTAAAATTTCGCGAGACGGGATCGTGTATGCGGACTGCTGAAGAGTCTTACAATATGACGAAATGACCTTCCAGTGATTCCAGGTTTTCCATGGTGGTCTAGCTTCAATTGACTCATGATTTCAACTATTTATAATATGTATTCTGTCAAATAAACAGGCAGATTGAAAAAAAGCCTTATATTGTAAAGTTTTATGTGTGTACTTCCGCTATCCCTTTCAAAATAATTTATATTTGTCGCAGTGGATATGTTTTATTTCCATTTATATTCGTCATAAACTTCTCTGGAGTCCTTAACAGTTAGATATCTTAGATAATTTGTTATTTCACTTGTTATATACTTCACAGAATTTATAATGAAACCATATACACAAATTCATTACATCAACAATCATTCAGATAGTGATCAGAAATTATACGTTAGCCTATATGTTCATTAACACAAGTCGTTAACAAATGTCATAGTCTCAACCTTAGATTACATTTTAGTCATATATTTTTACATTATTCAAAATTGAAACTTTCTAGTTCCTTTATTGTTCATCAAAATCACTTAGTCTATATATGAAGTCATTTGGACTTTAAGTTCTTTTAGAAGCAATAAATCAGTTACAGTTTGGAAAAGACAGGAGGCTTGATGACCTGTGTTAGTCCTGGCAGATTTATATATACATAGTACAGTGTTACAATATTGTTCTATGACGTTATTTTTATACTAACTAGTATTGACCATGAAAGTTTAATAATGACTTATCATTGAATATTTGAGCCAAGATAAATTAATGTTATGTCTAAAAACGAAATATAAGTAAGTGGCTTAGACTATAGATATCTCTTAAATCTTTGAAGGAATTTAAGTTTCATCATCATTACAGATAAACTATATTTTGTATAAGTCAATATTTATAAAATGTATCCATTTCTTTGTTATTAGAGTTCAATTTTCAATCATTTTGATTCCGGCTTATTTCAGTTCATTTTGTACTAATGAACGTATTGCTTCAGTTATTGATCATTTGACCGTCGTCTTTTTACTTTGAAGTTGAATAAAAGTATAGTTTTGTTGAATCCTTCTATTAAATTGAGTTAATACTTAGTTGATTATTGACTAATACAATAGGTGACTGTTTTATTTTACTTTATTGATAATTAATCATTATTCCTTTTGTGTATTACACTACAATGTTAGAAATCTTCAATAATCGAATGAAGAGTGGTTAGTTGAATGTTCAGTTATAGAGCAGTTGTGAATTATTACTTAGTTTCTATGAATAATAACATAACAACGGTGTAAATTTAAACAAACGTATTGAAGACGAGGTCTAGCTACAGCCTATGTATCTTATACTACAGGAGCTCGTCCTATAAGAACTAGAATTTCTATCCTCGAATGTTTGACCGACTTCAAACACTGCTGAGTAATTTTTATCGCTTTATAAATTCAATAAAACGTGTTCTAGAAATAAACCCCAGTTTAGTTTCACATGCTAGAAAAAAAAAGGGAAAAAAACCCAGAAAATCCAAGTAATAAATCTATGAACTTGTAACGGTTTAATGTTCTTCTGAAGCCTTAATTGGACATCAGCAAATAGTCAGTGATTGTATATATGCTGCTTTATAAACATCGTAAATGTATAACACTTGAATAACACACACAACAATAAACAGTAAAGTCCAAGTCGTATTCCATTATGAAATCAGATGATTGAACTCTACCACCAAAAATTGATTTTATCGATCTAATTAGTATTCAGAAATAAATTTCAGTTTGAGTAGTCTACTAATATTCTGATAGATTACAATTACCATATGGATTATAGGCAGAAGTGGATACAAAGATCCGCGTTTCACTCCATATAATAAGTTTCGTTACAATACACCAGAGTTCCGGTGATCATATTCACAATGAAAATTGAGTCCAATATCATAGGTTTTAAACGTTTACACATGATCCACAGAGCTAATGAATTCAAATAATTTATAGACTGTGTAACAGGTCAAGTTCTGGAACTTGTGAATTCCCTCTAGCATATCTACATTCTAAATGGATTCTCTCAATATTGACATTTATTTACAAATATCACTGTGAAACTCAACATTAGGATATAGTTATATTCAACTGACGAGTCCCGAATGCAACTAAACGAACATCCTGAATTAAACTACTAGTCACTGCATAACTTTAATGAAATCAATATGTCAAATTGGACGGTTCCAATTGAATCAAAGATTCTTAATCAATTTTGATTAAGATCGTAAATGGATTAATGTTAGACCACCATAAAAAAAATGGAAACACTGAACGGTCATTTCGTCCTAGTATAGGATTCCTCACCAAGTGAGCATCCTTTCGTCTCATACTCAATAAAGCAAAGAAAAATTGAAGATAACACATAAACAAACAAGCGTGATAATGATAACATTCATTGGAAGTATTCAAACAATTCGACTAATTTACAATTGATATTATTATTACTATTGTAGTTATATTTAGTCATGCATTCACTTTGAAATCTATTTCTCTTCTTGTCATTCTCTCTTGAATTCGTTCGTTTTTTTATTTTCTCAATTAATAAAATATAAGAAAAGCATAAGAATTGACGACTGGCTACTGAATAAGTGCATAACTATAACCAGAAAAGTTGCTTATGTTCCCGTGTGTGTGTATGTGTGTGTGTGTGCGAACTTACTAACAGGAATAATAGGCTGATTATATATCAGCGAGTGAATAACTAGATAACTTTTATTTTCCACGTACACATGCATAAACATACATAAATTCGATGGGGGGGGAGAAAGAAAGTTTATCTAAATAAATTAAATGTTAGCAGGTAGAAAACAACTCAAACTACTGCCACCACCACCACGACGACGACATCAATAACAAGAGAAAAAAATGAAAAGAAATATGCAAAACAGTTGAGTAAAACAAAAATGAACGAAAACAAGAAAGAGAAAATCAGAGTCGGTTATAAATGGAGCATAACAAATTATCTCTTACAAGAACACTATATATACATAATGCTTAAAAACAAGTGGCTAGATGCAACCAACTTAAAGATAGAATATATAGTATAACAATGATTAAATAGATTGTAGAAACATTTACCTACACAACTATTTTCTCTATCCATTACAACTAGAGGAATTATTCTTATAATTATTGTCTAACACTAGAAGGAAGTTTCAAGAAGTGTGGAATAACTAAAGATAGTAACTAGGACAAAAAGAAACAAATAAATAAAATCAGTTTCTCATTTTAGAAAAAAAAATCATTAATTCATTCCGTTTCTTGGCATAATACTACTACTACTACCACTACTACTACTACTACTACTACTACTACTACTACTACTACTAATAATAATAATAATAATAATAATAATAATAATAATGGTAATAATAATAATTATTATTATTAATCTGGACCGTTATGATGTAAACATTCATTTTTAGTGTTTGAAAAAGAAAATGTCGAATTTCCTTCGCTTCAATTATTTATTTTTGCTTGATATTATGGTTGAATTGTTTGAGAGGGATTATTATTTTCGACTAATCTTGTAACTGTGGGGAAATATATACATTTATATACTTATGTTCTTTTACTTCAAATGTTTTCTTATCTGATTCATGATTTTTTGGACGAATTCTGAATAAAAAAACATGTGTCAAGTCTGGAATTGATATAGTTAATGTTCGTAGTTGAAAGCGTGAGTCAATTGAAGCTAGACCACCACCAAGGAAAACCTGGAAACACTGGACGGCCGTTTTGTCTCACTGCGGGACTTCTCAGCAGTGTGTATCCACGATCTCGCCTCACGAGTTTCGAACCCAGGATCTATCAGTTTCGCACCAGAGCACTTAACCGATAGACCACTGAGCTGGCATCCGATGGTGTTTATGTCTAACTCCAACCAATCCACGAAGTTGAGCAACCGTTCACCAATTGTCTTCATTGAGTTCCTATCTCACAACAGACGTGGTTTGAACTCCACTGGTCACTGCTTCTCACTAGAATTGATATTAGTGATGTTGTCAATAATAAACACTAGAGTAAGAACACTAGAATTATTTGTTTAGACGAAACTGAACTAAGATGAGAATGAATTACAATGAAAATCAAAATGTATTTATCCATTAGCATAATTGAACTAGATACAATAACTTCAAGATGGTTGTAATTAATAATGCAAACTAATTAAAGCCTACGGAAAGCAGCTTGATATAGATAGTTTCAGTGAATTCCAATCGTTTATCTGTATATTCTGCACGGTGATTCACATAAATCCTTGTGAATTAAAGATTTCTTTACAAATAAACAATGGCTGCTGAGTGGGCAGAATTTAAGATCTTCAGTAGAATCACTGCCAGATAAACATTGATAACATGCATAGTGATCGAATAATACTTTAATTTAGTAGCCAATTAGAAACAACAATGAGAATTGAAGAAGTCCAAATTCAAAAGATTAATTCAATAAAGAGAAGGAAAATTGAAATGATTTATTTCCATAGTTGAAAATTGAAGTTTTTCCAAATTAACGCTATTTGTCAGAAGGGGGTTTTGTGGAGATTTTAGTAACTTTGTATAGTTGAAATCATGAGTCAATTGAAGCTAGACCACCGTGGAAAACCTGGAAGCACTAAACGGCCGTTTCCTTGCACTGTGGGACTCCTCAGCAGTGTGCGTCCACGATCCCGCCTCACGAGATTTGAACCCAGGACCTATCAGTTCCACAATAGGGCGAAACGGCCGTTCAGTGCTTCCAGGTTTGCAATGGTGGTCTAGCTTCAGTTGACTCATGATTTTAACTATATAAACACTATTTATCAAGTCCTTTTTTATATATTATCATGTTGATCATCATAGTCCACTAAAATGTGGATACTTTTAATAAATAACAAACTGCGGTTTACCATGTCTCTATTTTGCTTGTTTTTTTCCAAAGGACATGGTGGAATAAATCAACTTGGAGGTGTTTTTGTCAATGGACGTCCATTACCAAATCAAGTTAGACAACAAATAGTTCAACTGGCCAATCAAAACGTACGACCTTGTGATATTAGTAGACAATTAAGAGTTTCACATGGTTGTGTTAGCAAAATTTTAGGACGGTAAGTATCATTTCATGTTATTGTAATTAATTATAATATTGTGGGACGAAACGGTCGTTCAGTGCTTCCAGGTTTCTAGCTTCAATTTACTCACGCTTGCAACTATGAAAATATTAAATCTCCATAAAACCTATTCTGATAATTGAATATATGTTTGAGTATTATCCCATTTTTAGACAACCATCATGCATTGATTTCATGCGGTTTATGGGAAGCAATTAAACGGGTTAATAGATATCAAGAAAACAACCACTGTCATCTTTTATTTATGTCTTAACATTCAGAGAGTTTTCCTGACACTGTTTTATCTTAGTCAGTATAGTATACTAAGATAATGGTATGTAATGGGTGTAATATATGTTTCTGTTACTTTAGTAAATGATAGTTTGACATCATAATCAATCAAATAACAAAATTCTTTTTCCAATACTGTTTTTGGGATTACCACTGTTCACTTAATTGTTCCACTATTGAAAAATAACAGCAATATATGATTAGATGATTGAGACTTGTATTAATTTATTACACAGTGACCAATGTCATGTTCATTTAGTTCAATAGTGCTTCAAAGAATTACAGCAATCCGGTTAGAATGTGATGACCAGTTTAAATGACATAATATCAAGTGTAATGTTAGTCAGTGTAAATATATCAATTCCACCGATCAACTACGAGGCCAAAGCTCAAGGTTGATATCTAAGACCGTACTATTGGGTGACATCATTTCATATCCTACAGGAGACATCGGTTAGCTCATTAATGTGGGTACATCTTATTGAATAGGGTTGACTAGGATGTAATCTCAATTTAGGGTATCTTAGCGACAATCTTAAGCTACCTAACGGCAGTAGTAACTTCCTGGTGGCCTGTAATAACAAAGTTGTCTTCGTGTAGTTGAAAAATGATGCACAAAAGAGTTTTGTCTGCTGTTGAACTCCTTTCTATAGATAGGATAATGGTTTTGTTTACACTTCAACTGACGAAAATTAATCAAGTATTTTGTACTCTGGAAATGTTTTAGTTAACTCGCATTCGTACAGACCTTATGAAAATTCCAAATTAAGCCGGGACTTCACTATACTAAGTACCTGAACTTACAATATTTACATTTAACCAAGTTGATAATTATTAATAACAGCAACATTTATAAATATGTCATACCATCCGTTACATTTAGACGCTAAGCAAAACATATAGCTTTAGAACTTGTGATAAGCTGTAGGTAAATCAATAATTTATCAAGTTCTTCTGTTGCAAGAACATATTGTATGGCTATGAAAATTTAAAAATTAGATATCCTACTTCCAGACAAAGACTATCCATGCACTTAGCTTTAAATCAAACTTTTAAGTAGAAACAAATAGCACTATTTAGTTATCAATAGTCGAAAATTCAAAATAGGACTTCAGCTTGGATTTGAGTTATTGAAGGTTGTACACCTCAATCATTAAACTTTTGCTATCTAATAGTTTATTTAATACATAGATAGGTTACATCATACATTGCTTACATACAAATTAAGTAGTATACTAGCGTTTAATAAATTTTCACATTAATAGCGTAAACTATTTTAGCATGAAGACTATTTTATTTGACTGACATTGACCAATTAACATGCAACGAAATGTTTCACAATTTCAAGTCACTTACGTTAATGACTGCTTTACAAAGATTCCCATTCCTAGCCTTAGTTAGTCTGTAATTGACTGATAACCTAAATTGATACAGTTGATTAATAACTACATCTGTTTAAACAAGATTGCGTTTGTTGGTTTGTAATTGATGAATCCCTACTGACATATCTACATCCTAAGTGAGTTCTCTCAATATCGACATTTATTTACAAATATCACTGTGAAACTCAACATTGTGATATAGTTACATTCAAATGACGAGTCCCGAATACAACGAAACGAACATCTTGGATTCAACTGCTTGTCACTACTACTCATGACTTTAATGAAAACTTGTAACCAAATGACATTATTTGGAGGATCTACCCAGCATGAATATATACCAACAGTGATTGATCATAAAAGGTGGTTAAGTTCAACGAAAAGTGTAAACGATTACCAGTACAATGTTTGTATGTTGTAAGGAATTGTTTTAATATGAACATAATGTTCCATGTAATCGGAAATTAACATCCAGTTACCTGATACTTGTCGAATGTTCTATAATTTATAATATATTTTTAATTATTTAGGTATTATGAAACTGGAAGTATACGGCCTGGAGTTATTGGTGGCTCAAAGCCAAAAGTTGCTACGGCTTCCGTTGTTGAAGCTATTTGCAAATATAAAGAAGATAATCCAACTATGTTTGCATGGGAAATACGTGATCGTCTATTAAAGGATCAAATATGTACAGTAGAAAATGTACCATCTGTATCATCAATTAATCGTATTGTTAGAAATAAGGCAAGTTAGTATGAGATGAAGAAGAAAAAGTACAATTTATGTATTGATTACATCACATTTTTATGGTTCGTTGATTTGATTCGAATTTAGATGAACGTATAAATATTCTATGAACGCAAATTTTCCGCTTAACTCCGTGTATTAAGTAGACTAACTCCATTTGTGTGACGGCAGTAACAAGAAGCCAAAAACGGGTTGAGTCCGATGAAGTTATTTCAAGAAATCGTTTATCCACACAGAAATTTGGAAATCAAAGAGAAGCGGAGAAGGCGAGTGAGCCAACTCGTTTTAATAAAACGTAACTAAGTATTTATAGAGAGAAGAACTAAGCTATAGACATGAGATGAATAGAGTACACAATACACACAAGCTTATATAAAAACAGTCAGGATTAATAAGCGAATAAGTGACAAGGTCAAATGTGACTTTGAGAGAACGAATAAAAGGGTCGGTTCGGAAGCAAGAATAACCCATTTGCGGTTGACAAAGTACTACATAGTACGACATCACCTTATAAGAGTATTTTTACTTGTTTGCGCATATGGATATTTTTAAAAAAAATGATTGTCACACGATTGAAGTTTAGTACATTTAAATATATTTGTTTTATTACTTCATTACTTATTTATGTATATTACCTCTCATAGAGGTGTATGAGCCACCACAAAGATTCACCATCGATCTCTTTCCTGGGCAATTCTTTCCAGTTTCTTCCACTTGCTATTCATCCTTTTCATATCTGTTTCCAATTCTCGACGCAATGTGTTCTTCGCTTTTCTTCTTTTCCGTTCTCCCAACGAATTAAAGGTGAGCGCTTGCCTCGTGATGCAGTTTGGTGATTTTCACAATATATTTCCTATTTACCACTACTGTCTTTTCCTAATTTCCTCTTCAGCTGGAATCTGGTTTATTCTCTCCCACAGTAGGTTGTTGTTTATGGTATCCGCCCAGACGGATATTTATTATCTTGTGTAGATAATTGCTCATAAATACTTGTACTCTTTTGACGATGGTTGTGGTAGTTCTCCACGTTTTGGTTCCATATAGTAGAACTGCTTTGACGTTTGTATTGAAGATTCCGATATTGGTTGACAGTTGTTTTGAGATTAAGATGTTCTTCAGTTTTAGGAATGCCGCTGTGGTGTTTGTATCAACTAATGATTTCTTAGCACTTGATGACTGCCTGATTTCAAATTTCAAATACAATACGTTCGTTTGTGCTTATCTAATTCTCTTTGGTCTAAATTGCTTTATTTCTGAGATTCCTAGTCCGTATATTAATTCAAATACTTCTAATTATCACATCCACCCCTGCTTTGCCAATTCCTGCCTTTACATCTGCATCAGATACTCCTTGTTCTTTGGCGATTCTGCCCAGAAATGTGAAAGTTTCCACTCCTTCCAGAACTTTTCTATGAAGTGTTATTGGGTTGATGTTCTTCGTGTTGCTTTTGAGGATCTTGATTTTTCCCTTATGTATGTTGAAGCATACTGATGCAGAGGCTGCTACTACATTGGCTGTCTTGACCTGCATTTGCTGGTGTGTATGGGCTAGAAGGGTTAGGTCATCTGCGAAGTCCGAATCGTTAGGTTGCTTTCAACATGTCCATTGCATTCGATGTTTCTCCTGAGATGCGGAGATCTTTATAATCCAATAGACCGCCAGTAGAAAGAGGAATGGTGATAGCAGGTCGATGAGCAGATGCTTCATGTCCGTTGTGTGGATACCATAAACAACAACCTACTGTGGGAGAGAATAAACCAGATTCCAGCTGAAGAGGAAATTAGGAAAAGACAGTAGTGGTAAATAGGAAATATATTGTGAAAATCACCAAACTGCATCACGAGGCAAGCGCTCACCTTTAATTCGTTGGGAGAACGGAAAAGAAGAAAAGCGAAGAACACATTGCGTCGAGAATTGGAAACAGATATGAAAAGGATGAATAGCAAGTGGAAGAAACTGGAAAGAATTGCCCAGGAAAGAGATCGATGGTGAATCTTTGTGGGGGCTTATAGAAATTAATTTTTAAGTAGTGTTCGTCAATGATCTAGATTCTTTTTGAAATTATTCATTCCCTGGGCAGTATTTCGGACTTCATGCCATAAAATTGCCACTTTTTTAATGTGATTGGTACAACATTCCATAAATCTACCAATATGTTGATATTTTGTATTTGATAATTTAGCGCACATGCTCCAACCGCATCAGTTGATGAAGATTCATTATCCCATCAATCGATTAGCCTACTTTACATGATACTTTGTGTCTAACCCCAATATTGCTAACTTGATTATCTCAACATAGGCGAGAAGTGCTTTGAAGGCATTTGTGAACAAACCTTAGTAACGAACGAATATCCTCTATTTTGTACGCTAGGTTACATAACTCCATAGTAAAAAAGAGAGAACTACTGGACAGTATTCAGTTGGCAGACATATAGTGTACACACGTTACAAGTGATGCAAGTTGTCAAAAACCAAGTGAGCTTTTCGAGTCCAACCCAAGGTTTCGTCAGATGCCAACCCACTAGGATTGATGAAACTTTCTAGATAAGTGAAGTGGTCTGAATACACATTGACTGTACTCCATATCATCATTTAAATGTTGATAATGGTCTGTCCTGATATCATTTCAGATTAAATTTCAAAATTCTTCTCTAAACAAACAAATTTTCACTGTTTTTCTATCTAACTAATATAGGATAATCAAACTACAATGGAACCACATAATGTATTATCTAGAAAACGTGGTCATCGTCAAATTCATAATAATTCACCAACAAATAAAACTCAATTAAGTCAAGATTCAAATTATCATGATTCACCTGCAACAACACCTTTAAGTCTTCAAACTGATTCTTCACCAAAATCGATTAAACTATGTGATTTTGGACAAGAAAATTATTTAAATCATAGTCCAATAACATTGCCAGTTGTTAGAGGCAGATCAACATCATCAACAGGAACTCTAATAATAACAACAACAACAACACCAGCAACAACAAAATCCAATACATCAGCTCATTCAATAAGATCATCATTTAAACAATTAATGTTTACAGATAAAACAACTTCGAATCTTCTAAACTCTGACATAAAACGTTTTCATCATTCTTCGACAATGTCTAATGGTTCAATCAATGGAAGGATTTATGACAATACTAATTATCCAGAAGTTTCTTATTCATTTCCTAATAATGATAATATGAATAACACCCCTAATTCTTTACAATATTCTCAATTTACACCCTATTTGAATCGAAATTATGATGAAACTATTGAACATTTAAATCAAGCGGCAAATTCAAACTTATCCAATGTGACCTCGTCAGAATTCGGTGAACCTTTTAAAAATCAATTAAATCATTTAAATTTTAGACTCATTGAAGGAAAACCAAATGAAGGAATAGATGAAATAGAAGATAGAAATTATTTAACTACTTTTAATAAAACTATGATTACTACTAATACTACTAATGATGATGATAAAAGTAGTACATTACCAAATGATATATCTAATAAATTAAATATGAGTTTTATGAATGATGAAAGATCATTACATAATTATCATATAAATGATGAATATATTCAACGTTCCATGTATAATCGATTACCATCCACAGATAATGAGGAGTTATCAATGATTAGAAATTCATATTTATATCCTTCATTAATGAATATAAATAATACTAATGATTATAATACTACTAATAATGATAATAATAGTAGTATTAGTAGTATTAATAGTAGTACCACAAATTATTTAGTACATAAATCTATAAGTAAACAACCTTTATCAAATATAAATACATTGGGGGATTTAACATGTTTCAATAATAACTCTAATCATATTGGTTTATCAACTGATTATAGTATAACTGGATTATTAGGTTTAACAATGGCGGCATCAAATGGTTTTAATACATTATATGGAAATGGTTATACATTGAATGGGAAGAATAAGAACTTAAATTTATTGATTAATGATACACTTGAAAATTTTCATCTCCAACAACAAGAAGAAGAAGAAAGTGAACAACAAGGTCATTTAAATTTTCATTTAACACATCAACAAAATACAACTTCACAACATCCATCATCCCTTTCACACCTTCAGCATCAGCATCATCCTCATCATGATCATCATCTTCATCATCGTGCTAATAATCATATAGATGATCTAGAGAAGCATTCTGACTATGTACAACAACATCAGAATTTTCTTTCATATAAATTATCTCAGACTTTGAATGTACATAATGGAAGTGAAAATCAAATTGATGAAAAGAATCAACTAGATATCACAGAGTGTTCAACATTTAGACCAGAAATTTTCAAAAATTATGATCGATTGATAATGAATAATAATAATAATACATCACATAGAAATGATATGAATGAAATAGTAGAAACATTATCCATTTCAACATCAGCATCGGTATCGTCATCATCGTCGTCTACTTCAATACCGATAATAACGACAACAGTAGTAGAGAAAACAACTACAGTAATGACAGATGTAATATCACAACCACAATTGTCTACATCGTCATCATCATCATCATCATCATCATCATCGTTGAAATTAATCTCAAGTACACCAATTCATAAAAACAAATTGTTAGGAAAAGAGCACTTCAGTATGCATCGTAAAAGTAGATTACAGAATTTTGATATGAAATGTACAGGTTAGTTTTTAGGATGTTGTAACACGTATTGCTTGTTCCTGATTAGGTTCAATTCATTTTAACTCCTGCTTTGTTAGTAAATTGTGAAATGGTAGGTTAGTGAGTATCATACTTGACTAAATTCATTCCGTATAACTGATAGTTGGACAAGATTTTCCGAAAAAAACGAATCCGAAATTTCGGAATCATCTGAACTCGTGAAAAACGATACTCATGCAGGAAACTTAAACATATATTAGGAAATATTTATTAGGAACATAAACGCTGAAGCACTTGTATGACTAAATATCCCACTGATACATCAACTGTTGATCTTCAGTGCTTATACAGTAACAAATACATTATACTAAAATGTCATTGTAAGGATGGCTCGTTGGTAAATTCTAGGAAGCCTTAAGAAGCCCGGAAAGAGCCGAAGACATTCCATCCAATCACTGTTAGGGGAATATTCTAGAATGTAGACGTGTAGCTTCCCCATTGGATGGATAAGAATGACCCCCTATGTGCCAATTGGTTGTCCGAAAATATGATTTACTCTCAGTCAAAAACTATAAATACATGAGATTTCTGTACTGTATTTTGACACTTTTTGGGAATAAAATTCCTACTTACTAGTCTTCTGTCTTCTCTCTTGCGACGTTGCGGGTTCGATCGTTCAAGTAGTCTAGTAGTACGCGGCATAGTAAGAATCAAAGCTCTAGATATAACAGTTATGTTTTATTTTTTTTATTTAAACACATAAATATTGGTACAAAGGGGCACCAGATATATATGCGCCTCACAAATCTCATTTGATTTGTGTGAGGGCTGTGATACTGCCCAAGTGCCCAGACTGAAGCAGGTGGTTTTCTTAGGAAGCCACACCCGGAGCCTTTGACCTAAAGGTCTGATCCACACGGCAGTGGGGCAGAGTAAAGAGATGCAGTCCCATGGTAGCCGATGACTAACGATTGATTCATACGCCATTTGTTCCCTCAGGATACTGGAGCCCATGTGCACCATTGATTTGGAATCAGGGTTACTATACAATATTCTACGTATTATTTTATTGATAACTAAAAATAACTGTATCAAAGTCTTATTAGTCTGAAAAGTTTGTTGACGACGTCTTTGAGTGACATATTAAATATTAAGATTTTGAACTATTGAATAAAGCATAATTCAACAAAGCATTATTTCTGCTAGTTTGTGAAAATGAAATACATGACACGCTAATAGATTTACTTAAATGCTCATCGATAGTCCCACTCATTATTGCATTTAAAGATAAAAATATTGTTTTTCTGTTGTATTTCATTTTATCAGTATAGGGCTGTGGAGATTGTTGAGTTTAGATTGGTATCATGAATGGATCAATGTTAGAATATCATTGAAAACGTGGAAGTACTTGACGACTGTTTCGTCTTTCTACGAGACTCCTCGGCAGCAGGCATCCACAATCCCATACATAGGACTCAACCCCAGAACCTTCAGCCTCGCGCGCGAACGCTTAATCTGTAGACCACTGAGCTGTTAATGTCTAACTTTAACCGATCCACGATATTGCGTGACCATCCACCGTTGTCTTCAATGAATAACTGTTTCACAACATCATAGGTTAATCTTAGTTAGTCAACTAATAGAAGTAAGGAAGTATTGAATAGCTGTTTCAACCTAATGTGGTACTCCTAAGTAATGAGCATCCACAACCTCACTTATATAACGGTAACAGTCATGTGCTCATTAGTATTTTATTTTGAGTCGTAATTTCAAAAGAAATCTTGCCCAGTGGAGTTTAATCATTTTGAATGTGCAACAGTTTCCTATCATTGAGATTAGAAGATGGTTGAACAGCTTGAAGCAAAACAAATAAACCTATGAATCCCAGCTCAGTAGTCTAAGCGTTCACCGAGTGACCCGAAATTCCTTGGTTTGATCTATAGTGGAATCCTTGATTTTCATTGATGAAGAGTCTAGTACTGGGTCTGAACAATTGACCAGAGTGTTTTGGTTTCCGGTGAATGTTTAACTAAGTTCTATTCAGGATGTTCATTCTAAAATTCAACGATCTCTCTAAACTACGTAGATTTTAATAACTAAATAAAACAATATTATTGTTAAATTCACTTGGAAATTGTTTGTTTGAATCTATCCATTGATATTTAGGGCTGTAATTGATCAGCCTCTTGTTGGCCTATGTGCATACTGTGCGTAATGTCTCGATATCGCCTTTATTCACAAGCATTATAAGCAAAGATGGATAGTGGCTAGCAGTGGAATCCAGTTTGACGAGCGTTTCGTCCTATGTGGGACTCGTCAGCTAGATGTACCTGCATCTCAGAGTTGAGTTGATGTTCACCCTGAGACTCGAGACCAATACCTTTCGCTTCAAACGCCATCGCGTTATCTACTCAGCTACTGCGTCATGATAGCCACTTGCTTGTGAAATAAAAGACTGATCGATCGCAGACCTAAACACCAATGGGATGATTCAAACAAACAATACTATATGAGTTTAAACATCACCCCATTGCACAATCAAGTGGCTATGAGGACTCAGTAGCTAAGGGGAAAACGTGATTGCGTTTGAAGCGAAAAATACTGGGTTCGAGTCCCAAAGTGAACATCAAATCTGAGATGCAGGTACACCCAGCTGACGAGTCCCGAATAGGACGAAATGCGCATCCTGGATTCCACTGCTATTCACTATCCATCTTTGCTTATGATATTATTGTTAGTACAGATCTTGTTTATCCAGTTTCATGTATTCATGACTGAGTCTCGATCAATCGTTGTTAACATATATGTGTCTCCTGAAAATTGATTCGACACAGTCTTATTAGAGTAAATGAATTATATATCCAAATGTAAACATCAATAATGAAATATATGAACATCTAGATGACGATTCCAAAATAATTGAAAACGTGAGTCGATCTCGCTAGCCAAGGTCGTGGATGCGCACTGCTGAGGAGTCCCACAATAGAACGAAATGGCCTTCCAGTGCTTCCAGGTTTTCCCTAGTGGTCTAGCTTCAATCGACCAACGCTTTCAACTATGAAAATACTAAATCATCACAAAACCCTTTCTGATTGCAAAATAAGACAAAACATATATCTTTGATTCTATTATTATACACAATTCATCTATTCTACAAAATAAACAATAATTATAAAGAGTATACCTTTAAAAAAGAAACACAACAAAAGGAATAGGCAAACTTACATCATTTCCTTTCATTTGTATTATTTTATTCAAATTATAATCATAATGACTAGTAGTATGTTAATGATTCTATAAAAAAAAAGGAATATTGAGAGAAAATGAAAAATTAGTTTCATTATTTTTTGTTCCTTTTCGTTGTATTTGGACCTTTTTCTTTTTAAAATTTGACGTACGAAACAGCGGATGATGAGTGTGTGTGTGTGTGTTTATGTGAGTGAGAGAGATAGAGAGAGTGAGTGAGTGAAGGAAGTGTAAATAGATAGATAGATAGATAGATAGATAGGTAGACATTGATTACTGTTTTTTAATAACTGAAAATGATGATTCGAGATTATAATAAAGAATTGTCACGACCGGATACATGTAAAATAAGATAAAGGTAATCCAATTTCTATCTTTTGGTTTTGTTTTACCTCAATTCATTGATTGAAAGTCAGAATTGATATACCTATGAATGAATGACATGATTTATGTATATAAATTCGGAAATGGTTTGTAACTATACGATTATAGGAAAATTGGATTATATTTCATGGAAAATATAATCAAAGTGAACTTGACAAGAGTAATCCAAATATGTTTGTTTTCTTTTGATAGTCCATTTCTTTCCAGATGTAAAAACAAATATAAATATTGCTTTCATGAATAGACTAAAGTTAGACTACTATTGAAAACCTGGAAGTACTGAACGGCCGTTTCTTCCTAGTATAGGACTCCTCGACAGTGCTCATTTACAATCGCACAAGCAAGATTAGAACCCAGGAACTTCGATCTCGCGTACAAACGCTTGACCTCTAGACCACTGAGCTGGCATCCAACGGTGGTAATGTATAGCAGTTACTCCCTAAAGACAATAGTGGACTGTCACCCAATATCGTGGGTGCTTCCATGTTTTCAATATTGGTCTAACATGGATCCATTCATGATACCAATTTAAAACTCAGCAATATACACAACTCTATACTGATATATACATAAAATTCATTGTTCACATAAGAATCTTATTACTGTGCGAAAATAAAACTTTCTTGTAAAATAATCGAATCCCTCAACATTCATGGATAAATTTTATTCTCAAATATTCATTGAACTAATTATATTAACTATGTGAAGATTTTATTCATAGTGTGGTGTGGGTTACTGATATGCACATAAGTAGTATATGTTGATAGTCGGGCATTCAATGTATTTCAGTAGAAGATCGATAAGGAGAGAATGGGAACGGCACTCAATTGGTACGAAAATGCATGAGCAATTATAATCAGAGACTATAGACGTATATTTGCAGAAGAAACAGTCAAATTGAGACAATTGATTGTTTAATTTGCAAAATAACTGTTCACTATATAGTTCTCATATTTTAATGAGGTATTCTGTAATGTTGTGCTAAAAGGGATTCGATTGTTCCCCATCCGTGTTCTTGTTCACTACAATATAATTAAGATGCTATAATCTCATCAATTTAGATTTGAATAAAGCATCTCATCAGTTGTAAACGCACTAAATTTATAATAATAATAATATTATTCTAAAGAAAAATTTCCTATACCGTAATTAATGAAGTTTAATCAGAAGGGGTTTTTGTGGAGATTTCAGTATTTTCATAGTTGAAATAGTGAGTCAAATAAAGTTGCACCACCATGGAAAACCTGGAAGCATTGGACGGCCGTTTCGTCTCCTCAGCAGTGCGCATCCACGACCTCGCCACGCGAGATTCAAACCCAGAACCTATCAGTCTCGCGTGCGAGCGCTTAACCACTAGACCACTGAGCTGGCATCCATGGTGTTGATGTCTAACTTTAACAAATCCACGAAGTTTGAGCAACCGTTCACCAATTGTCTTCAGTGAGTTATTATCTCACAAAAGAATTTGGCGAGGAGGGATCGTGTATGCGCACTGCTGAGGAGTTCCACAATAGGACGAAACGGCCGTCCTGTGCTTCCAGGTTTTTCCATGGTTGTCTAGCTTCGATTAACTCATGATTTCATCAATGAAAAACAATGAAGTTGAGTTTAAAATGACATAAAAAACAAGATGAGGAAAAATCATATTCAACTTAGTAGTTAGAAATGAATCAGCCACATGTGGTAATGCATGATGTAAAATCTAATTCTAATGGGATTAACATTTAACCAGAGATCGCAGATACTCGTTTCTGATAAGTATTAGCTACCACGAGAACTGGGCTTCAAATTTCTTTCTGATTACCTTCAACGACCTCATATTCAAACCTACATCACTTTTCAACAACTCTAGCTGTTCAAATCCAACTCTATACCACCATCTGTTATTACTCACTTTATACAGTCTAGGAAAATTTTTACAAACATATTCAAGATTCCTATATCAACCGTTTGTTGCTCAGCGATTCATTTTCCTTTAATTCTTTTGTTTTGATTCAGATACTACAAAGTTAATAACAAATTGTTCTTCAATACCTACAGTAGATCATGATTCATCAACAATAATGAAGAACTCTATTGAACATATTGACAATTCTACAATAAATGAAAGTAAAGATGAACTATATAATTCATCAACATCATTTTCATCATCTTCATCTCCATCATTCTCCACATTCAATCATAATGAATCTGGAATATCATTTATATTGCAAACAAATTCAAATCTTCATAGTAAATACTTAAATCGTTTATCAAACAGAACTTCTACAATAAGTGATTCATTCAATTTTATAGATTCAGCATTAGATATTAAATCTTTATCAAATATAAATCAAAATATTAATCAAACAAGAATATCAAAATTTCCTGGAACTGAATTAATGACAAAAATCCCATGTAATGATACAAGTACAATATATGGTCATATTGAACAAGATTGTCTATTGAATAATGAACCTGTATTTAATAAAGATAGATTCCAGTCAAATAATGATTTATCTAGAACATATATGTCATATTTTACACCTTCTTCGTCTTCTTCTTCTTCTTCACCCCCTTTTCAATCGTCTCATTTAACAACTAATCTATCAGAAGTTACTACAGATATTGTTAAATTTCCATTTTATTTAATGTCTGAAAAAGCAAACAATTCATACTATACACAAACATATACTAATTTAGATTTGAATGAAACAGATTTTATAACAACAGAATTTTTTTCTAGATCATTACCAGATAGAATTAATATACATCGAAATGAAATAAATGATGAAGAGAATAGTACAAATAATATTTCATCAAATCATTGTAGAGATACACCAGAATTTCCAACACAATATTCATTAATCTGATGGAAATACTGAAAATCTTAGAAACAGGAATTTGAACAATTTGTTTCGTTGTATTTTACTGTTAAATTTTCAAATATCGCTACATGCATAGCGTCGTAGTAGTGTTACATAACACAGTAAATTGTATGAATAGTTTTTAACTACTTATAATTTAGCAGTAGTTAAATGAATATCACAAAAGATTTTACTGCCGAAACTTTTCATAGATGGAAGAACAGATGAAAAATTTGAAATTAATATATATTTGTCTCTTTCACTGTCAATTTCACTTGAAATGTTTTAAGGTATACTTTATTATTGATGGAGACTAACTTTTTTCATTATCTTTAATTGCTGAATGTAAAAAATATTAAGTACATTGTAAATCTTAAACTTGATTATTCTGAATTCTGGATCAAGATTTAAATGAAGACGAGATTAGTAGAAGTTCCATGATATACTACTTTTACTAAATATAAAAAAAATAACATGAATCATCTTAGGGATGAGAAACGAGATCGTCCTACAAATCTACACTTTGTAACATTAGAACATATTTCGAATCAAATTACATTCTATTTAAAGGCCTTGTGCCAATTACAAACACCATGAATTTATTATGAATAATAAAGCTAGAAACAAAAGATCTATATAATTTAGTTATTGGATTTAAAGTAGAAGTACAAAATGAGACAGATATCCTGAATGATAAGGCAAAGAAAACGATATTTATGTATAATGGTCGAGACTGCGGTCTAACTACATAAAAATGGGAAATCTAATCATAAAAATATTATCAATGATACAAATAATATAAAGCATAATGAAAAGATTTTTGCAATAAAATGAGTGGTAATTTTATTAGTTGAATTAATGAGTTGAAGTAAGCCAGACCATCATTGAAAACCTGAAAGTACTGGATAGACCGTTTCTTCCTAGTATGAAACTCCTCAACAGTGCGCATCCACTACCCTTATGCTGTGACCAGTGGAGTTCAATTCGTTTCGAGCAGAGGTAGGTATCTACCTCAGACAATGGATGAATGGTTGAGCAACATCATAGATTGATTGAAGTTAGATATTAACACCGTTAGATGTCAACTCAGTGGTATAGATGTTAGTTGTTTGCACCTGAGACCGAAGGTCCCGGGTTTGAGGCCCTTTGGTGCGGAGTCGTGGGTGAGCACTATTGATGAGTCTCATAGTAGGACGAAACGACTGTCCAGTACTTCCAGGTTTTCAATGATGGTCTAGCTTACATTGACGCACGAATTCAACTATTAAAATTACTACAACCTGCATAAACTCCCATTCTGATAATAATATTAATAATAGTAATAACGAAAACATACTACAAAATTATAATGATTACGTAACAGCTAATCAAATCGCACTACACTTTGTGTAGCCTATATAACTTGCTCCAGAAGACCAAGTAAACTGATAAACATACTAAGTTGAGTCGAAGCAAAATTTTATTATTGAGATATCATTGAATAAATAGTCTGCCGGAGAAGGCATTTCGAAGGTCTACAGAGGATAAATTTTTTGACAATGATTTCGCTAATGTTTTTTTCTCGATTTCTCCTGGATCATAGCCTTTAAATTCAACGTTCACCAACAATGACTTTTTGCCACTTGTTTTTGTGCTTTAAACTTTTTTTAATTAACCCGAGAAGGGAACCAACTTCACCGAGTGTTCATAGGATTATATTGATAGTGTCCTAGATGCAAATTAGTATGGTCTTCAAAGATAAAGAGTCGATTATGTTTCTCGCCCAAACCAAGGCCATCCAACTTGAAAATCTGTATATTGCTTATTCTAGTGTAGCATTACACACACTTATATTTGTAGAGAACTATTCATCTTTTGCTTCAACAAGATACCAAGGAAAGGATATCCTCACTTCACCTCCAACTCCAGGTTCAAGGTAATTAACCCTGAACAATTACTGAAACCATGTTGGATACCTTTAAGTTTATTATTTTCTTAATAGATAATAATAACAATATCGTCTATATTTCTATTACAATTTCATCTGTATGACTTCATTTAAAAAAAGGCAATTAATCAAGATAACTGTTATATCTTATGGCTTTGTGTCCTTAACAATATATGAGGTAATGATACCGCCAATTAGAGAACAGTGATTCATTGACCGGACCAATGACGCATGAAACTCGTACGAGCAGTCTAGAGTCTTTATCTCTCCTTCTTCCTGCCTAGCCTTGCCTGTTAAGTCTAGAACACCAATATCAACCTCCGTGATATGAATCATATATTTAAAAGATAATGGGTTTATATACCAAACAAACAGACCACATCGTACCATAAAATAGAAAATAACATTTGTACAAGATCTAGCCAAATGTGGATGTGAAAGACTATAATTAATAGACTGGGTATAACTTAAGAACGGTAAATCGTAATAATAATAGTCTATGGGTCAAAATAACCTTATAATAAGAGGAACATGAATATGCATAATTTAGTTACTTAATATGCATAGTATTAGTCCATGAATGGATTCCAACAGTAACCATTCAATATTCTCGTCGGGATATAACAATAACATACCGAAACGTAGAATGAATGAACACCCCTTAAAGAGATAATATATATTCAACACTGTACATTAACTTAAATGATAATGCATACAATTGAATACTTAATAGACATAACGTTTTGTTGTGATAATCGTTATTGAAAACTGACATTATCTATGTGATAAAGTCACTTATGAGAAGATATGTATAATGCTAAGACAATTTTGAATATGTTACACACGCTTAACTACCGCGACACAAGTTAGTGTAGCAATAAGAAGCTAGAGACGGCTAAATTAGAACGTGATTTCAGTTCATAAGGTCGTTGACTGTTAATCTAAAACGTGAAGAAAATTCAAATTATCTGGTTGCCATCTGTTTGAGAATTGTGATCGATGTTTTGGAACTCTGAGTGATATAGTTCGTAATTGATTATAATGGTGTAGATCGATTTATCTTTCATCTTCTTCAAAAATCCTGACTTCAGTATTCCATCACACGTACGCTTTTATCGATTTCTTTAGTATTATTTTAAAAAAATCTTATCATGATAATGTGGTGTGGGAACTTGGGCCAACTCACATTTTTGTTATGCTCTGCGTTGATCATGACTGAGGTAAAAAAACTACAACAAGAATCAAGCACCATCTTGAATTATGAGCCAGCAAGTTATAGAACAATCCTCAGGATTCTATCAGGATACATTAAAAGATACGAGTTTGATGCATTCATAAAGAATGCTACAATGTGGTATTGAAAAAGTGATTACAGGAAAACAGCAACTGATTCAGTAGCTGAGTGGATAACGAGATGGCGTTTGAAGCCAAAGGTACTGGGTTCCAGTCCCAGAGTGAACATCAACTCTGAGATGCAGGTACATCCAGCTGACGAGTCCCAAATAGGACGAAACGCGCGTCCTGGGTTCCACTGCTGGCCACGTTATTTCAAATGATTGAACTTTAATTCCTGTTTATTCACTATTCATCAACTATCTGAAAGAGAACTTAATATTTGGCCTCCAGCATTTGAAGACGGTTATAGATAAATTGAAGCAAGAAGAGTAATAGAACGTAACGAATTAACGCCGCAAGCGTATGAGGATGTTAGATCAGGATTATTATTTAGATTCAATAAAATAGTTGAATTATGACAATCAACTTAACTAACATCTGATTGATCATGAATACCAAATGACCCGGTTAACAAGATATAATTGGATTTCCACTGTGATCACTACAGTTTTTTTAAGATCGTATTATCCAACCTTTAGTTGGTGCTCGGAATCATCAAGTACAAGTCAGATCATCTATGTTGAATTTTAGAATACTGGTATATATATTGCCATTCATCTGTAACCATATTCCTCGAATTCATCGGCCGTCACGTCTTATAATGTACCAAAGAGGCAAATTAACACGCTGTAGACTTTTTACCACAGCACTGTTGATCAATTCAAAGCTTACGACCAAGTATACACTGAATAGAACACATAACTTAATGTCTTTCGAGTGTTTACTTTATTGTCGTCATGATATGCTTCAATATGTGGAAGAAATTTATCAACTTGAAGTACGTAGATGATATAGCTTTGTTCGATGAAGACACTACTAAAATTTAAAGTCTTCTGAAAACCTCCACTGAAAACAAAACCTAGCTTTACTAAAAATTTTGACTAAATGGAGATATCGATGTGATCTGGTTGGAATGCGCACATGGGGATTGATAAAGCTGGCAAGTTCATAGTATCAACAACTGCGAAATACAAATCCTTACAAATAACTTGATCGAAGCTTACAACGTATTTTCTGTCTTTAAATGAAAATATTTCTCGACTGAACATCATCTATCTTAATTACAGGCGGGAAATGCTTTATATGTGTAAGCACACCTTAAACATGCTATTCAGTAGATTAAAAAGCAGTAAAAAGACAAGATGGGAGATGAAGAATATGAATAAATAGTCCTAAAAGTCAATCTTCTGATGCTCTAAAAATTGGACAATTGGAAGCAATTAAGTGACGAAAGTTGGTGAGTGACTATAATAGATTACAATCTGCACAAAGCTGCAATCATCTAAACTTTGATTAACATGTACCTATCCAAAGCACAAATTTTCTGTATTCAAACACCTGAAATGTATGTTCAAGACCCCCTCTCCCTCAGCTAGCCCTATGCCATTTGTCAAGAGCGTTATTTTTTTAGAGACAATGTAATTAGTAATGGAACTCAAATTCAACTACCTCCACAATATAATCTGCAAAGGTGCATCCCCAGACAAACCACTTTAACTTGACCTAAAGGCATGACAAGAGATAAATGGCTATCAACTGAGGTTTCGTCAGGTAACGAAGCTTCAAATTGAGCTATTAGTTTTTTAACCTTAAAACCGAACCTAGTACCAGAGGATCCCCGAATAATCACTCACGGAAGTTACTTTTAGAATCAACAGACGAAAAGGATCTCACAGTAGAGTTTCAATAATACAGATTGCCTCAGTAGAAAGCTTTTTCAAAAACTTAGTGGTCAAACCTGTTTGTTTTCCATTGTTAAAACTTAAATACGAAAGCTCAAGTGCCATAAGTGATTCCGTAGTATTCAAATCCAGCATTAAAAAACTCTAAATACAATAAACAAATTATACTTTTAAATAATCTCTAGATACATGATGAAATTCAAATGTCAAGGAATATACAAAAACAGACAATACAATATCTTTCATAAATCAGATTATTGGATTAGGTGTTCACTGTGAATTATGTTTGAGAAGCACTAAAAAAATGATAATCATTCTGAAATCCTTATTTACGTCACATAATAACATGTCTGATGGCAGAGATTATATCAAACAAGTCAGCTGCCTTAATATATCATCTCACAAACGTCCAGTCAATATTCCGGTGAAATTAAAGTATAAAAACAAACTAATCAGATTTTAAATAACATTTTACTAAATTCGTCCGCGAGATTCATCCATTCATATGGGCTTTTCCGCCATAGATAATGTCAGTTCGTGATGAAAACTCTAACCATAATTTATCCTGACTCTCAACCTCTACTATTTTGAAACAGGAAATAGTTAAGACTTTGTAAGATCATATTTAAAATCTCCTAATATCTTTCTCATACTTAGGAACCGCTAATATTTCTGATTCGCGAGGTAGTGGAAAATATATCAAAAGCCATATCTCTAAGACAAAGTTTTACTACAGCAAGTTCATACACAAATTTTCCTTTACTTTTGTAAACTACCAATTCAAAATTTTCCAAATGCTTTACACAGACACTCCATATCTACTGATAATGTTTAATGTTTGAATAGTTTCATTGGTGATCGTTTTAGCAAATGATGATTATAGATCATACGACTTCAGAAACAATGTTAGTTTGATAAGTTCTATCACGTTTACCACACTAAGAATTATACTTTTTCCTATAAATTAAAAGAATTGCTGATAGAAATCACTGAAGTTTTTATCAATCAACTAATAGATATTGTAAGCAAAGATGGATAGTGGCTAGCAGTGGAATCCAGGACGCGCGTTTCGTCCTATTTGGGACTCATCAGCTGGACGTACTGAATGTCAAAGTTGATGTTCACTGGATTCCACTGCTAATCTTTGCTTACAATGCTTGTGAAATACGGCTATATCGAGGCAATACGCACAGTATGCACATATGCCAATAAGAGACTGACCAGTTGCAGTCCTAAACATCAATGGGAAGATTCAAACAAGTAATACTAAGTGAATTCAACTAATAAATAATTTACATTGTCAATTTTGATCACCATGAATCACGAACTATATTGATTATTAGAATAAAGTGAAATAACGAACCATATAAACATTTATTTCTATTTAAAATACCTGAGTACATCTGTTGAAAGGTAATTTTAAATACAAAAGTCGTTCTGCAAATACCACGAAAAAATGTTCAATGAAAAAGAAAGAAATACGAAATGAAATAATTTATTGAGGATTCTAACGTATAAACTAACACACACACACAAGTACATGTACACAATACTGTCAGTTTTTATTGGTAAATGGTTAATGTATTATAATGTGTATTCTGTTCGAAAGGCGAAAACAATTAAGCACATTTACCCAGGGTGGCAGTGAATGAAAAAAATATTTTCCAAAGTAAACGAAACAGAAATGATGTAGAACAATTTAAACTACTTAATTAGATAAAAGTAGCACGAGTAACAGCAGATAAATTAAGCAGTAAACAAACACTGAATAAAAATGAGGTAAATAATAAGTAACAGCACAAAAATAAATAAATAAATAATTTAGGATTATACTACAAATTTACAGTATTTTGTTTGAAAAATATCAAATAATTAGGTAATATAGGATAATTAATATCTAATAGGTAAGTAACTTGAAATACTCTGTACAACTTCAAGTTTGTGAGTATGCGTTTATATGTTGATGTGTGAAAGTGTTTGAACCACACTGATCTAACAGCTACAGTATTGAAAGACAAAAAAATGCGGCAAATACAAACTCAGAAAACTAAAAAATCTTCTATTTTCATAGTGATGAGACAAAAAAAAGTAGAAAGTCAAGTGATATTTGTAGATCATTTACAAATGTAAACCGAGATTTAAGTTTTAGTCAGTTTCTTTTTGTAGAAGACAGTCAAAATAAACGTACGATAAACAAAGATAGATAGCCTTCATTATTACTTTTACTAATACTAATACTACTCATAAACACATCATTGGATATGATAGACAGTCAACAAATGCATATTATAAACTAATATAAACAGAGAATAATAAACAACTAGAAAAGGAAACTGGCAAAAGCAATAACAACTCGAATTACTTCTTAGCAACAATATACAGTTATTGTATTTAGAGAGAGAGATCATAAGAATCTATGATGTAATATCAATAATAATTATCAGTGATGAAAAGAAAAACCAGTTATTCATCAATTATTATCCATTGATGAAGTAAATGTTGAAATTGATGATAAACCGTGAAACTAATACCTGAAGCTACTGGTCCTTTAATCCAATTCACTGATAAACCTTTATATAATCCATGAATAAAACCTTCATCTTTATATACATATCGTAATGTTTTATATACACTTTCTAAATATTCTGGATGACCTAGTTAATTTAAATAAATAGTAGAAAAGTGAAAAAAAGGTTTGATATAGGATGAATAAAATGTGATTCATAACTTTGAAATGTTTGCTTCAAAAAGCTCGCTTACGTTACCTATGACGAAGACGAGATATCCGTCTATCAATTAAAAGACGAGTATACTGAGCAGCAGTTCGTTCTGTTCTACTGTACGGCTGTGAAACATGGTCATTAGGAGTAGAAGATACTCGTAGGTTACTAGCATTTGACCACAGATGCCTTAGAAATATTGCTCGCATCTGCTGGGATCACCGGGTAAGTAATAGTGAGGTTAGACGCAGGGTATTAGGGAATGATGGTAAGTCAGTTGATGAGGTCATGAATCTTCATCGACTGAGATGGTTGGGCCACGTGTTACGTATGCCTGAACACCGATTACCACGACGCGCAATGCTGACTAGTGTAGGGGATGGTTGGAAGAGAGTTAGGGGCGGCCAAACCAAAACATGGCATCAGTGCTTGAAGTCACTAACTTCTAGTCTGAGCCATGTTGGTAGATGCAGACCACCTGGTTGGGGTCCGCGTGACTATCGTAACCAATGGTTGGAGACTCTTAGTGACATGGCTCAGAATCGATCACAATGGCGTAGGTGTATACACTCTTTATCTTCCCTTAAACCTTGAGATTAAAATTGCTTCATAACTTTTTTCCTTCCTATACTATATCTTTATATACAACCTTTCTTAACATACTACCACCACTAAATTAACTACTATGAATCTGGTGTTCAATTTGTTGTGCTAACGAGGTATGGCAACTTGGACCGATGCACATATGTGCCTGGTCCTACGTTGTCGCTGATTGACTGACTCCTGGTCAATGAACACTTTAAATTTTTCAGAGGGGGTTTTGTGGAGAATTTAGTATTTTCACAGTTGAAATCATGAGTCAATTGAAGCTAGACCATCATCGAAAACCTGGAAGCACTGGACGGCCGTTTCGTCCTACTATTGGACTCCTTAGCAGTGCGCATCCACGATCCCGCACTCGCGAAATTTGAACCCAGAACCTACCAGTCTCAAGCCGGAGCCCTTAACCGATAGACCACTGAGCCGGCATCCAACTGTGTTAATGTCTAACTTCAACCAATCCACGATTTTGAGCGACCGTTCACTAATTGTCTTCAGTGAGCTGATATCTCTACAACAAACTTGGCAGAACTCCACTGGCCACTGCTTCCCATAGTAGGACGAAACCGCCGTCCAGTGCTTCCAGGTTTTCGATGGTGGTCTAGCTTCAATTGATTCATGATTTCAACTGTGAAAATACTTTTAATTTTACTCGAAAATCATTCGTAACTTATTGTATAGAGTAAAGATATCAAATATCAAATGATTAGATCCACTACGTTAGTTTCACAAGTTAACCATCAACTTTGTTAAAATCTTTAAGATTTGTTTTACCAAATTGAAATATATTGTTCACATCAATGTACACAAACGTAAGTTATTGTACCTATAATTGTATGTGTGTCATTTATTTTTTGAACTACTTTTAAACACATTCAAAGCACTAAATTAAAGGATCACTTGACAGAAATGTTATTGTTTTTGATGTACAACTGCTGGTTTTGAAAATATTTTTTTCATTTCCACATATATATTATGATAAGACTAATGTCACGACGTTATATCAGATCCAGGATTCATAAACAAGAATAGAGAACCTAAGTATAGTTTAGATAATACTTGATTCAACGAAATTACAAGCAGTGTCTCAATGAGTTCAGAGGAGAAAACCAATGAAAGGAAAGGGAATCATACATATTTGACAGTCTGTAAGTTAAGTGCATATTAGTCCACGCTCAGTGATCAATTACATTTGACTTTCAGCATCACATATCAATTTTTTGCTTTAACTTTGGAATTCATATTATGAAATATTATAACAATACGATAACTTTAACAGACCGAAGGTCTTGGGTTCGAATCCCGCGTGCAGGGTCGTGCACACGTACCGCTGAGGAATCCCATACTAGGACGAAACGGCAGTTCAATGCTTTCAGGTTTTTAATGATGATCTAGCTTACATTGACTCATGAATTCATCTATTAAAATTACTACAAGCTCCACAAACCTCATTCTGATTATAATACAATAATTATCATTATGATTTTTTCATAATACTGTTGTGAACGAGAACACCAGTGGGGAGAATTAAATGTATTTTAATACATTATAAAATATCTTGGCAAAATCTGAAAACCATACAGTAAATACTTCATTTGCAAACTATCGATCAATTGTCGCAGACTTCGTTGCTCCTTCATCTCCTTATCAATTACTCTCTATTTTCGTTCTCTACGATTTCTATCAACCTTCTGTCGCCAGACATCCCACTTTCGATTGGTGATACATACTACTTATATCTGTTGACATCAGTAGCACAAACAATACAATCCCACTGTTTTTATATTAACTCTGATACATAAAAAGAGTGTAGTTTTAACTAGTTCAAACAAACTTATTTATGATTGAGAATAGACAGAGTATATTAGTGGTTAAAGTGTATTCAACTTTCACTAATTAACTCTTCAGTTAAATCTCACAGATAACACTGATGCGCAGGGTTTGTGAATGCATATTACTGAGCAGTCTCATACAGGGACGAAATCGCCGTTCAATCCCTGCCAGTTTTCAATGGTAGTCTGGCTAAGATCAGTTCATGATTCAAAAACTACGAAGTAGTCATGAAGAACAACCACATGTTTAACAAGTTCATACTTCACTATATGTAAGGCGGTGAGTAGATTTATCAATAGCGGAATAAAATGAAAAAGAAAGAAAATGAAGGAATACACAGCACCAAAAACAAGTTAAATGGCATACCTGTAATATTAGCAGTTTGCATTCTTCGTCTAACAATATCTAGTGGATAAGAAGCAGTTTGTCCTAATATTCCAGCCACTGCACCACAACATAAATTTTCAAATGGATACAATTTTTTAGGTCGGTTACCAGTGATGGGATCTTTATTTCTATCTGTATAGAAAGGTAAATAAACATTATTTATGTAAATATTCATTAAAATAGTTATATAGACAATACAGATTATTATGATCAATTTATAATAATTACCACCCATGGAAATCATAACCTCTGAACGATTGACTTGCATTAGTCAAACCTAAATATTTCATTTAGAAATAAACACGACACTGAATAATACAAACAGAAAGAGAAAAACAATGGTGTTATTAGTAGTGATGACGTAATGTAAGATGATTATGTTATAGGCGTCCTTACCCTTTAGAAACTGAAGTCATACCATAATGGTAGACATCTTTAAATTATAAAGGACTCATTTTTTTGATATTGTGTGTGAGAAAAAACAATACATTATGGTTAGCTAAATCATAAAAAAATAAATTTAGACGTAAATAGAAGACAAAACTTGGTCGGAAACCGAGTGATTAATTGATTTGGAGTTACCTACAGTGCGGTGGACAATATCAACAAACAGCGAACCATTACATACATACACGTAAAATAACTTTAAAACAATAGTTTTAGAAGAACAAGAGTTAAAATAAAGTACCTGATAGAGAAGAATAAAAAGGGACGATTAATCGTAAATAGGCAAAGAAATGATATAAAAAGAACTTCTTACCTAAACATGTTTCTTTCAGTGTTTCAAATGTAAAGAAAGCTGTCCCAGCATATGGGATAATACCGAGGAGAGCAGGAGTAAAACCACGATACAATGCACTTAATCCTTCTTCTGTATAAAGAGCTCGTATAGCATGAAAAAGACTAGAATATCTGAGTAAATGAACAAAAGAAATCATATATGGCGGAAGTAACGAAATACAGATCCATAATAATGAACTGAAGTATCAAACTACGGATAGCCTTTGCTTAGACAATCGGTAAAAACAAAAGGGTACTGACAAAGCAACAGTAAGCATCTACAACCCTAATTGAGGTCGAACACAGGGCCTTCAGGCTTAGGAACACATGCCTAACCTTCACAATACTACGTCGGTAGCCCAATGGTTTACCTTTCTAGCTTCCATTGTTTCGTGATATAAGGCAAATATCATCCACTGCCTAAACATAGTCAGTCAGTAATAGGAAACTTCGCATTCAAAAATCTTCACAAGTCCCAACAATAACAGTCATCATGTGATTACTGGTGACTAACCTCAAGGTAATTCTTGAAGTTTTAGTGGAAAGCAGTGACCAGTAGTGTTCAACCTTGTTAGTAGTGAGACAGATATCAGCAAAGGCAGTGTATGATAGTTGCGTAAGACCGTGAATTGTTTAACGTTAGAAACATAAACCAGTGGATATCAACTTAGTGGTTCTGTATTCGATCACAGGTGGGACTGATGAGATCCACACAAGGACGAAATAGCTATTCACTGCTTTCTGGCTTTAAACGGTTGTTTCGGCAAACGTCTCAACAATACCCAAACAATAATTATAATAACAGTAATAATTGTATAAATAACTAGTTTTAATAATAAATAGAATAATTTAATTGTAGAATTAACTCAGCCAACGATCACAAGTACATCTACTAAAAGGAGTATACTGTTAAGTACACAGATTCGCAGAAAGAATCAAAATAATTCATAGTTTTATGCCGTTGACAAAAATGTAAGTAGATCCTATAAATTCATGCTTATTCAATTGTGATCAAAAGTTAAGTTTTATGAGTAAATCTCCATGTTAACAGAATAAAGCATCGGTTAGTGTATGCTTGAGTCAAGATCAAATCGGATCATGTTAACCGTTTTATTTTCAACCAGTCAGGTATTACTGGATGGATTAAAATGATAGAAGATTCCTATGTAAGTTATACTCAACATTTTTACTACACAATATACTCTTGTTTGGATTCTCAAATACACCTCTATCTACCTACAAGTTTCATGATGATTTAAGACTAATCGAGTGAAGTATTTTGTAAAAAAAAACAATAAGTAGTACAGTCCATTAGTTCACCTAGCACTAATAATATTTATTTTTCACTGATGGTTCCAAAGTTTTATTAATTAATTGTAAATAACTTAACAATACAACCGTTCTGATTGTGCTTTGAAGTTGTTTGTAAGATATTATAGATTGAGACATTAAAGTCTGTTGATCAGACTGTGAATTTATATCAACTTGTCAATTAGAATTTGCAGTACACATCCTCAACATTCGGCTACCTCGACACACTATACTGGCTAATATGTAAATTGGTAGGAGAAAAGATTTGGAACAAAATACTACAACAATTCACAAATTCATTGAATATTGGTATGAGGTGTGTCGTGAGATACAGACTATCATGTTAAAATCTGTTAGATAGTCATAATCTATATTTAGAGACCTTGGGTGATAGTGGATTGGAATCAATCGCAGTAGTGTGGGTCTATTCATTTTTCTGTTTATTTATTTATTTAAACACATAAATATTGGTACAAAGGGGCATCAGATACATATGCGCCACACAAATCAAATAAGATTTGTGTGAGGGCTGTGAAACTGCCCAGGTGCCCAAACTGAAGCAGGTGGTTTTCTTAGGGAGCCTTTGACCTAGAGATATAATCCACAAGGCAGTGGAGCATCTTAAGGAGATGCAGTCCCATGGTAGCCGGTGACCAACAATACGCCATTTGTTCCCTCAGAATACTGGAGCCCATGTGCACCATTGGTTTAGAATCAAGGTTTTCCAACTCTCCTAGGTGGACTCGCCGTGTCCACCAACCCGGTTAAAGCGCCGGACATTCGCTCTTCGTCCTCTCACTTTCGTAAATAACAGTAATGCCACGAGAAGGCAGTGAGTAGGACTTCCCTGGCAGAAGCTATATTACGCATGGCCATATGAGAGCAATTCGAGAAGGTGAGCGGACTCTAGTCACTCTCGGCTGTACCAGGGCGTTTGGGAGTTGATTGAGTTTAATATTACTATTGTTATTTTATACCTCTTTCGCCTCGATTTCATCCGTTTTGTTTCACAAACTATGTACTCGTCATGCTTGACAATATATATATATATGCTTTTATGGCCCGCAATGAGTGATGACCGTATTAGGACAACTTTTTACTAATTTAAAATAAGTTACAATGAATATATACAAATGAAAATCAGTATACTAATAAACTTCAATAAATATGGTTGTTTTAATTGTGGAGATGTCTTGCAAATTAAGTTAATTTATAGTTGGTACAGATCATGAACCAACTTCAGTTGGAATACCATTTAAAAACTAAGGAACACTAGGTCATTGAGGCTACTCAGAAGTGTATATTATCCACTGTTTCGTCAGGGTTTTTAAAAAAAGCTAGGACCTCTGAGTTTTGTATAGTAGATGTAGAATAACTTTCGAATGGTTATCAGTTAGGAAAAAGGAGATAACTAAAAGCAGTAATCAAAGGATAAAGGGTTGATTAAAACTTTTTGTAAACAATAATGAACATAAACATAGGGTCGGTAAAATTTCAAATGCCTTGAGAAATTTAGGAGCATTATAATCTGCATAACAGGTTGTAAATATGTCAGATATATCTTATTGTGTATAGAATTAGTTAGGTTAGTCAGTCAGCTACAATGTAGGAATTGAAAAGGAAGATTGATTATGAATACATTGATCTTGATTGCTGTTGAAGGTATGAGGGCGGTTATCACTTCTCGGTTGCCCACACTGTGAAAGGGTTCTTCGAGGGGTACCTGAAAAAAAAATTGGGTTAGGAGTGGTCTTTGTGACCTAAGTAACCTAAGTTAGTGATATTGGTTATAATTAAAACATTTGACTTTCAACCAATGAATTCCGCCTATCAACCTCCCGATTAGTATTAGTTTGGACAGTTAAGTAGTATTTTTAGGTCCCGTACAAACATTGTAGGTCAAAGTTAAGTAAATGCATTTGTACTTGATAAATGAATTGATAGACAATCATGCGCAATAATCAATTTATTTCCATAAAATAACTGGATAATTTAGAAAATAGAACACGGATGGGTTCACCATTTACCCTTCTCTAGATCCTGGGTTTCAATACTTTTCCATACATATCTTCGTTTAGACTGTATTCGTAATGTTCAGTCTTTATCATAATTACTGTTACTATCATTACCTGCATGGTAATTTTATCTGATTATGTTTATATTGTATGGCGACTTGAGTCAACATAAATTTGTACTAGGTTCTCAGTTTTATGACCAACTCCCTAAGGTAGTTAAAGCGTAGTATTTGATGGAGTTTTGTTCTCTGAGCTGGATGGTTTGGCCGTGTAGCTTTCATCGTCCTTCTGAACAAATCTATAATCCGATTGAGTGATTAAACCATTAAGTTGTTGCGTCTCATGCTAATCAAGTATCATAACTGATCCTGTAAAACCTTTACCAATAAATCACTACATGTTCGAGTTCATGTAGAAAGTACTACCAAGTTTTCTCGTGACTTTATATATATATATATATATATATATATATATATATATATATATATCACGTGTTTATCATGTGATTATATGATCACTAATATACATTAAAATAGCTTACCAATAAAGATGAAGAAAAGGACAATCTGTTGTAAATATACTTACGATGGTGACTAGAGGTAGATCAATTAATACATTGAAAACTTTATCATACTAGATTAAGTAATTCCGAAATAGGTTGTCAGCATGAAAATACAAAAATTGCTTGGTTTTTAGATAATCACCAAAGATTACTGAATAACTTTTGATTCTAGGTTTAAAATTTTCCAGAATTGTGTACACTAGCAATTCTGATATGTTATCACAACTCTTCGATACCAAAATACAACTATTAAGCTCTCTCAAAGCCTCGACTACTCCAAAACACAAGTCTTATAGGGAAGATTAGTTTTATAAATACTATCGAATAATAATTCACATTTGAATTTATCCCATTATATACCCATCACATTCAGTGATTATTATTTAAAAAATTTGTCACGTTAAAAAATTATCACATAAACAAAAGTTACGTTAAATAAATTTATGAATATTAAGATTGACTTCATAATACGTTGTATCTGAAGATTCAACGTGCCCTAACAAACCCAAGTATGAGTATCAAACTCAAGATCTTCATGTCTTGCTGAGACCACAATATAATTATTGCACTACAAGGTCGGGATTCAACAGTGTGGAAGATGGAAGATCCATCTAGAGAAATTGGAAAACCTTGATTGCAAACCAATATTGCACATGGACTCCACAATTTTGAGCAGAACGAATGGCATATGAACCTATTGTTGGTCACCGACTACCATGGGACTGCATCTCCTAATATTGCTCCACTGCTTTGTGAATTAGACCTTTAGATCGAAGGCTCGGGGTGTCCCCTTAAGAAAACCATGTTCTTCGGTTTGGATACCTGAGCAATATCCCAGCCCTCACACAAATCGAATGAATTACGTGGCGCATATCTACTTGGTGCCCCCTTGTACCAATATTTGTTTAAATAAATAAATTCGACTTAAATTACTCAAGAAAACGTATTTATCGAATATTTACGAATAAAAAAGGTCAAACCACACTGAAAATCTGGCAGCACTGGATGGCTGTTTCGTCCTAGCATGTGATTCTTTAGGAGTCAGCATCCACGATCCCACCACAAAGTATAGAACCCAAGAATGTCGGTGTCGCGCTCGAACGCTCAACCCCTGAACCACGAAGCCGGCATCTGGAGGTTATAAGCGAGTGTGCGCGAGATCGGAGGTCCTGGATTCGATTGCCACGTATGTGATTGAGAGTGGGCACGGCTGAGGAGCTCCATACTAGAACAAAACGGACTTCCGGTGCCCCCAGGTTTTTAGTGAAACTCGACAATCTCCACATTCAAATACTGGCAAAGAAAAAACATTCTATCACAAGGTGGGAACTTGTTACGTCTGGCCGATTTTGAACGCTATATTCGCTTCCCTATGCTAGTTCCGTACCCCCGAGCTAGAACTATACACCGACTTGAAGACTAGAGAAAAGGCATAAAGCGTGTGGGAAGCACTTTACTACAGGGTTCCTTTATGCACAGAAAATACAGGGATTTCATAGTAAAGAGTCCTTGAGTTTTACCGAAAATTCTAGAATACTGCTAAACATAGTAGCAGTACATTAATCAGTCAATCAGGATCTCCACATGTGACTTTTTCATTCTCGTTATTTTAGTAACATAACTTCACATAACTTCTAATTAATCGCTGACTAGTTGATGACTCACGAGCTCGTCATGTCGCTTGCGAGAAAATTACAGGGTCATCCCAACAGAACTCTTAACCATTTGTGAGATACTTATCGGCTAAATTCGTTTAAAAAACACACTTTGTTCACAAACAGAATATTCATTTGTATTATACTAAATTTAGGTCTTGATTATAGGTAGATAAATGATGAGTATAAGATAGATATGGAGATATAATTAGCACAGCCTGGCACAAATGTGAATTGACCTAAGTTGTCGTACCACAATAGTGCGATGAGATGAGAATAATAAGATTAATAGCAAAGGGGTTGAATTAATGTAGTAGTATTAGTATTCAAGCTAAACATTAGGAACATCATTCGAAAAGAAGAGAGTTAATTATTATTTATTATTTATTTAAACACATAAATATTGGTACAATGAAGCACCAGATAAATATGCGCCTCACAAATCTCATTCGATTTGTGTGAGGGCTGTGATACTGCCCAGGTGCCCAGACTGAAGCAGGTGGTTTTCTTAGGGGACCACACCCAGAGCCTTTGACCTAAAGATCTGATCCACAAGGCAGTGGAGCATCTTAAGGAGATGCAGTCCCATGGTAGCCGTTGACCAATGACAGGTTCGTCCGCCATTCGTTCCATCAGGATACTGGAGCCCATGTGCACCATTGGTTTGGAATCAGAGTTTTCCAACTCCCCTAGGTGGACCCTCCGTGTCCACCAACCCGGTTAAAGCGCCGGACATTCGCTTTTCGTCCTCTCACTTTCGTAAATAACAGTAATGCCACGAGAAGGCAGTGAGTAGGACTTCCCTGGCAGAGGCTATATATTCGCTGGCCATATGAGAGTATTTCGAGAGGGAGAGGTGACTCTCCCCACTCTCGGCCGTACCAGGGCATTTGGGGGCTGAGTTAATATCCATTGCAAGGTGAAGAAATGTTACGTTTATGATGAAAAATGAAGCCACTTCCTAGAGTGGGTGATCAGATGAATTCACAAGATATGATAATTAATGCTGTGTCGCGGTGTTCCAGTGGTTAATTAAGGCGCTTCGTTTTGAAACAAAGACCTGTAGTTATGAACCCCGTTCCATTTGCTTTAGCGTCCAGATTGTATTACCGAATTTCGGATATAAGGTGTAATTGAAAGTCAGTTATACAAATCTGTACTTGGTAAATTAAATGTTTAGAAAAGTATTTCATAACACTGGGTATTGTTGAAGAAGCTCAAACTAGAACAAAATAGTTATCCAACGCTCCCTTTTTTTTAATAACTTCCCACCTAACAATGGTTCTTAAAGAAACTTTTGAAATAAACAGACTTGGAAATAGTGATTTCTCTTTCTATAAACTGTGATAGTATATTACAAAGAAGGCCAATAACATTAAAGCACAGGAGCTTGGAAAAAAAGGGTCTGTAAACACGAATGATTTCAATTTTAACATAATGTCGATCAACTAACTTGGAAGCAGTTGTAACTGCCATACGTGCTCTGGCGACATCAAGTGGATATGTACAGGTAACTGATGTAGTCCCAGCCCCAACACCAGCAAGAAATCGTCGTACACGTATATACGAAATCTCCCTATATATCAAAAGAAAAATAAAAGCCCATGAATAAATATAGCTAAGCTAAAAGTGCATGGAACTAGGTGAAAATTATATCAGGAATTAAAATACATTAACTCGTCTACATGTAACCTTAAACGACCTTTATTAATTTCAGGAAAAAGGGATTGCCAATGAGTGGTTTGATTGATACTATATATTTCTACTGTTATTTGAGTAAATTCAAGTATTTAGGATTGAAATTATTTTGAATTAACTCATTCGTAGATTTCTCAAGCTAAAATAATTAAATGTGATCAACTATTATTTAATGTCCTGTAGGAATATCAACCAGTGTGATTTACGATGAAAAAGATAAGAGTTACATCTTGTGGCGTGGTAGTTTTAATAAAGCAAATGAGGGAAATTTACTTGACTATAATAGCCTATTTCGTCTAAAGTGACTGGGTAAGCATGAACTGAAATATAAACAAGAAAACTATGAAATAAGATTACTTTGGTCACTCAAAATCAATGTAGAATCTAATACAAATACATATAAAGTCAAGTTACCACACTTCACACCAAAAATTTAATGAAAGAAGATCAAGAAAATTAAGATTTGAACAGTGAAAATGATCATATTAATTGCTAGGGTGAATTAAAAACAGGAAACATTATTCAAAAGGGAAGGAATGAGGGAGTATATTTATTTACTTCAACACAAACACTGGTACAAGAAGGCACCAAATAAATATGCACCACATAAACCATTCGATTTGTGTGAGGGCTGGGATATTGCTCAGATACCCGAACCGAAGAACATGGTTTTCTTAGGGGGACACACCACAAACCTTTGATCTGAAGGCCTAATCCACAAGACAGAGGAGCAATATTAGGAGATGCAGTCCCATGGTAGTCGGTGACCAACAATAGGTTCATACGCCATTCGTTCTGCTCAGGATTGTGGAGTCCATGTGCAATATTGGTTTGCAATCAAGGTTTTCCAACTTCTCTAGATGGATCTTCCATATCCCCCAACTCGGTTAAGGTGCCGAACATTCTCTTTTCGTCCTTTCAATTTCATAAAAACACCCTGCTGCGAGAAAGCAGTGAGTAGGACTTCCCTGGTAGTGGTTGTATGCACGTGGCAATGTGTGAGCATTTTGAGAGGCATAGTTGATTCTCCCCACTCCTGGCCGTACCACGGCATTCGGGGCCCAGCCGAGGGAAAATATAAGATGAGATTCACAGAAAATCATTAATTATATATATATATATATATATATATATATATGCAGCACTGCAATCAATTTTAAGCCATATCATCCAATTTCTCTAAATACAAATGATTATGTAACAGATTCTAACAATAGCATCTGTATCTCTTGACATATCTCACACAAACATTTAATGAATCCATGAATTATTGTGATATTTTGTTCCAAATCTTTTCTCCTACCAATTTACATATTAGCCAGTATAGTAAATCGGGGTAACCGAATGTTGAGGATGTGTATTTCAAATTCTAATTGACAAGTTAATGTATATTCGTAGTATGATCAACAGATTTGGGACATATATGCCAAAGCTGGAAAGTAACGATGAGGATTTATGTCAGCAAACGCATGCCTTATACGTTCAAAAGTCACACTTCACAACAGTGAATATGAAGCAGGTTGTTTTTGAGCATATTAACTCATAACAGGTAGACTGGAGCAACAAAAGACGTTAACTGGAGAGAAACAAGTGGTTCTGAGTATTAATGCTCACCTTTCATCAGCTACCAAGCTATCAGAGTTCATTAGAGTATGGAGAGAATACAAACAATCGACCTAACCTACTTTCTTCTCATAATTAAACCAGGCAGTGACACAAAGCAGTTGTGAAACAATATTTCGCACTCAGATCCAGAGAAACGGATCCTAATAATTCCTTGATTATAGAGTAATGCATTTGAATGATCCTATATTTCACTAGTGTCTTAATCAAAACATTGTCATTTGTTTACTCCAAGTCGATAAGAGAATTACTGTGTAATTTTCTAATGTTTGAGAAGTTGAACGAAGTACCCGTTACTCCTAGAAATACATCAAGATGATAAAAACCTCCAGACAGAATAGAAATCGCAGGAAGAAAATAGATAGAACGACTAGCTTCAGAAGCATACCCATGATGGTTATAAAGTGAAGTTAAACAATGCACGGACTGTGATAAGAGTCGCAGAAAATTTTGAGAAATTGGATGATTTAAAGTCAACAAGCTATCCGTCGTTCTTTTGTAGACCCTTTGAAGTAAATACAGAGTCAAAATATTGTACCGAACTGGTTTGAAATTGCTTTTTTTGAAACCTCAGACAGATGCCCTTCTTATTTACATGAAGTTTATGTCACAATGACATTTGTGGAGGACCAGAAAACTAATTTTCAGTCGTAGATATTACTAATGTAGTTCTCCAATGAGGACCTCATCAATAATTGGGGAAAAGAGAAACACTCGGTCTCAAATATGGGGATAGTATCATGAGGATTAGTGTATTGTGTTTGACTGAAGCTGAAACTACTTGAAAATAAATGAAAGGCAAATGGTCCTATATCTAAAGAATTGATTAAATTCCACAAACATCAGTTCATGTGTCTACTTAACGCGTCCTATAAGGTAAATAAACACTTGAAATTAGCATTCGAAGGAAGGCAAACTTTATTTATTTATGAGACATTCAGAAGTACTATGATGTAAAAGACAACAGAAAACTCACGAATGCCTAGTTGAACTAATCCCAAGTAAATGTTTATAATGATCATGAGCAGAGTACTGAATAGCAGAATAAGGAAAAATTCTGGCAAGAGTTGCAGTGTGACCACGCCATAGACGCATAAAACCTTGCTCTTGGTAAGTGTTTTTGAGAAACTGAATAAGACTCCGTACATTAAATGGCATTCGAGTAGCTAAAAAGATCAAAATAAAGTCGAAAGCCTTACACTGAAAATTTATTTTAGCTCTGTCGAGTGGAGCAATTGCTGTCTTTGCAACACATCCTGCTAAACCACCTGTCAAAATATTTATGCCGATTGAGACTCGATGACTTGACTTTATGTTATTCGTAAATAAAAAGGAAAGATTACAACTTACATCCTTAGGTTTAGTATCAGGATGCATTAATATGTTTGTTGTGAGCTTCCTATACGAGACGCAACAACTTAAAGAGGAAGAGTCAACCAAACATCATGACCTTCAGTTTCAAATATTGACTAGGCTTACAATGATGAGTGTTTCAGTTAACCTTCGATAATATTTGCAGTTTCTTTCACGGTTAATAGCCAGGTTATTATTGAAGGAGCTGGTAACTGCTACTGATAACACATGTTTCAGTTTCCTGTCAAAATGACAGGTAGGAGAATAATAAAGTGATTTCTGCTAACAGGATTTAAAACAGGACAAAGGCAGGTATCCAGTCTTTTGGGATCTTAATTTAAGGAAGAAACATATGATTATCTTGTCCTCACGCAGGTGATAACTCAAAACACCAGAGATTCTCCATAACTTCACAAAGATATTCAGTAAACGTTAACCGTGACAGTGACACCCATTATTTTGGGACACAATATATACAACGTCGGTATGCAAGTGTCATAGTGCAAAGTTAAGTAGTTATCAAGCAAATTGGATTGATCTACTCTTTTTGTCAGTAGAAAGTCGTTCTTCGTTCGGTAGAGAAATTTATTATATTTTACATGTAATCGGTTCCAATTCTTTGCACTTTGTTTAATGCTGTACCGCTTGGTTTTACAAGATTTAATCACTGTTGATTACAGTATCTATGATTATATTTACTTTGACAGTATTGCTTAGTTATCAGATTTTACACCTTTTCAAGTCTTTATTACGAAAACAATCGGCCGCTATCGTCTTTTGATATACTGGCGGTACACAACCGATGGAATCGCTGGATAACCTTACCACAAGTCGCATGCATTGCGTCTGCTGGGGGTATTTAGTCAATGAGGCATATGCTGACCTTTTTTGCATCTTCAACATTACTTAGTCTGGTTGAACCACCAAAAACTTTCTAAATAAAAACGTTAGAACTCCCTGAAAAACTGAGATACTACGCCTACTTATCTAGATAAAAACAATATACTGTGGAAATCTTATTGTCTCGGATGCACTTAGCATGAGATTTTTGTGTTGAGAAACAATTAGTGCTGTATAGCCATAATGTACGACCTCGCCACAATTATCTATATTTCAACAAGTTACATTGATACATTCAGTATTTGGAACTAAGTATGAATAGCATAAAAACTTATATGTTCACGCTTCAACGTACATCTTCCTGTGGAGGCACCACGTGGGTACAAAACGTTTTGCTGTATGAACAAATACGTTTGTTAACTTACGTTTGGTGAGCATGTGTCGGATCTGTAGTTAAGCTTTGCCTCATATAATAACGTCAACAGTTTAATATCCCGTCAAAAGGATACTGAATGTCAACTTGAAATCCAGTTCTATTGACTAATAATAGACTCTGTCACTCACTGGTTCGCTTAAACCAAAGATTAATTCCAGTGGTTCAAACTCAACTTATGTAAAAGTTGCCTTCATTGATCCCATAAAATAGATGGACTGCCATTCCCACTTACAAAATATTGAAATTTGAAAGGTCTGGCAAAGGGAGGTCGGAAATCCTTTGAAGCAATAAGTTTTCTGTTACAAAATATACAACACAGTACTGATATATTGTTATGGGAACAGTTCTGAATTCCGTTCCGATTATGGTGTCATTCTTCATATTATCTTGGAGGTGACCAGTGTATAGTCAATGGCTAACTTACAGTCTATGTCAACAATGTTAATTGCAAAGAAATCGACTAATATAGGGGGATATGTATGTGCGGTAGTTCTATCTTACCTTGTATATGTCATGCTTTATCTTCACTCCTACTCAGATACAACTACCTGGCAAAACTTTACGACGAAAGAATATGCGAAAAATCCCCTCAGAGTGTTTATCGAACGGTTATTCTTTTTCTCTGTCCCCTCGTCTTGTCTTGTATTTTGACTTATACAAAAGTCTCTCGTCACCATTTCTACTGTTCTCGAGTCTTCTTTTTCTGGACATGTTATTTGGCTTTGGTGAAGATTCACCTTTTTTATATGATTTTGCTGTCTCATGTTGCCTGGCCAATAACAATAAAGTCGTGTTCGGTTAAACTCAAGGGGACAGCGTGATTTGACTGATAACTTCTAACTTTGGACTACCTGTTGGAAACAGTGACTTGAATCCTTGAGGATTTGATCTAATCTAGTTGAGGTTATCCTTGCTGATTCTCAAGTGCTAAATACTTATAATTTGACCACTCCTTTTGCTGTTTATCACGCCATTTTGTGCTACAAAAACATGAGACTGTATACCACATACTTCACCGTTTAAGGTATTTAGTACCTTTGATATAACTTGCTTTTTAATTTAAGTTAGAATCGGTTAAATTAATGGATAAGGTTGTAAGATCCACTTTAAAGGTTTCGTGTGTGAAAATCTCTCCATGCATCTGTTGCAACTTGTTCTTAATGGTTTCTTTACTTGTACATTATTTAAAATCTTTTTGATTCCTTCGAGATTGTAATGTTTCATTTCATAATAGTTTTCTCAGTCTTACTGTTGCTTTCACTGGGTTTCTATGTTTCTTCTTGAACTGTATCTATGTTGTTTTAATTGATATTTGTCCTGACGGCAGCCATATTGATTGTTCCCTCTTTGATTGTGTTGCTTGATTTGACTGGGATCGTGCATTTTGGTAGTGAGTTGGAGCACTTTCCCAGAATTCGAAACACATTGTGTTATAAAGCAACATATTGAGCGCATTTTTTACTTGATCTATCCAGAAAGGATGGAATAACACTTTTTTTGGTGTGTTCGATAATTCTCTTCAATTTCTTATCAATTGTATATTTATTGTAATTTTGATTGATTATTGTGAGAACAATTGTTGGTTGAATAACTGAGTGGTAATATTTGTTTAGGTAAAATTGTACATTCGTATTTATGATGAAATTTAGAACCGTTGTTACCCCAGTCATCTTGTTCTGATTTCGATTGCGGTGCACATTCGCGGACGCAGTTTGGATTTTACAATGTTATGTTTTGATATAAATTAGTACGAGTGACTCGAAAAGGCTTTGTACACCATACATGGGAACGTAATTTTGTCTTATCGAATTCAACTTTGGTTTGAGAGCTTTGTACTCAGACCAAGTACTAGAAGTTTGATCTTTGCACTTTGTTTATTTTTTAGAATTCCTCGAAAGAGTAGTGAAGTCTGGCTCACAGAATGCAGTGCCAGGTAGGTGGTTGATGGATTGTGTAACTTCAGCCTGACCGTTATAAAAGTAAGCAGCATCAATTTTCTTCCCGACATTTAGTGAGTTTAGACTAGTTGCTGAGTAATATCAAAACGTTTGCCGCATAAAGCTTATTCTATTTTCATACTATCATACTTTTGAATTCCTAATAAGGACGCACGACACCCACTTTTACACCAGAAGTACAGAATGAAGATATACTGTGTCTTTGTCAAAGCTTATTCGTCACTGACAGGATTGTTGATCATGTACATTTGACTACAGTTGATTCCATTCGTTCAGTAGCCATTGTCTGTCTGCAAGAAAGCTGTTAATTCTCGAAAACTGGTGTTGATTTTAACTAGGAGGGATATAATTTGGAATCGAAGTCTTTATACTTATTTTCGCAAATACCAGTAGTCTGATACCGTCGATTCAACATTGGATACATATCTTTTATATCGCGGTGCAGCTCATTATTGTTAATTATTAATAAATGGTTGGAGGATTTATAATGTTTTAGCACCAGTGTAATGACTTGAACTAGGCGGCTGAAAGTGGATCAACATCTTGTTAATACGAGAACGCTTTAGCTCGAGTATTTATTTAGTTATTTATTTTTGATGTGCATTATATTTCTTATCATGGCACATTGAGTGTTGAGGGGTTCATATGAAATTCGCACCTTGTACTCCAACCCTTCTGTCCCATGACCCGAGTAAAACACACAGTCTGGCTTCTCACAAGACGACGACTAACTACCAGCTCACTTTTGAACATGAAAACAAATAATTTCTGTTTCACTTATTTGTTTGGTTTTGTCGTAATGATAAACCTCCTGCTAGATGAGTAACATTATCTTGATCGAAAGTTTCACATATATATTTTTTAAATGCAGTTTTTTTTATCTCACAAAATTCGTGTTGGAATAGTATTTTACCCTCTCTACATTGTATTAGTACATTTGTCATTAACCACATCCTAGACTCTATATAGAGGGAAAGCCCGGAAGATAGGTGAAATTTTTCACGGAAACCCGACTATCAAAATTTGGGCGTAATGAGCCTGGGTTTGGGTTTGTCCAACTAACTTATTTTTTTCACGAGACAGCATCAAGTCTGGTGGATTGCGCTTTCCAGATCTATGCTCTGTCTACCCTGATTCAGTCGTCAAAGAAGTCTGCGAGTTAACTTTGAGTCCACAAACGTCACAAACATATAACATTTCAAGACGAGAGATAATGAACCGTATATCTTTATCAGGCGGTCAACGAATACAAAGGCTTTTCCAAGGAAAAACATAAGGCGATAAATCACCACAACAGTTTTTACGTCACTCCCGATCCCTGTTGGTGGCAGCGCTGTGGATAAAACAGCCCCAAGACAAGACTGGAGACAAGCTCTTCCATACTACGTCTAACACTGTTTGCATTGCCGAAAACCGGACACCTCTTCACTTTACTTATTACTCATTACAATGAGAATAAAATAGAGGTCCTACAACTGAATCATGTACGAAATACCATGCAAAAAAAGAAGAATTATATGAAGGTGGAGTTATACCTGGACTTATTGGAAGCATTAAAAATCTCACAAAGACTATGCAGAACGCAAAGAGATTGTAGGATTGTGGTCCAGCTCAGTATTAGTACTCCTATGATAATAGACTTAATCCCAAAGTGTAGATTAGTTATAATATTACTTCCTAACCTATAAGATGTTACATGGAAGTCACATCATGGTCTACATTGACTCATCCTATCGCGACAACCAGCAACATGACGTCTAGTACTTCTGAAGAACACATTAAGGCTGGGTAGAGAGTAATATATTCAAGGTAATAGGTTATATAGAGTGATGACACCTTTATGTTTGAACCATGCCATTTCGATGTTACCACGTTCGCCACTGTTGAC